ACACACACACACACACACACACACACGCATGCATGCGTGCACACACGCAGTTTCTAGCAAATTTTTTAATGAAACTTGCTAAGTCATTGAGAGCTATGAATGTGCATCTAAGTGAGTTGGGCTCAAGTGTTTCACCCCTTTTCTTTTTAAAAATAAATAAAATGTTCAATTGCATATGGTTTTACTGCTTTTATAAAAATACAAAAAGTGCATTCTTGAATATTACTCCCCTCAGACAGCCTTCCCTACATCTCTGCATTTGTTGGGTGGTAATGTCTTCATTTTTCCTAAATCGGTGGGACCACAACATTTCCGCCTATGTTCATGTTCAAATGCATGCAATTTAGTCACATTTTTTAACTTTATATAAAAAATCTGAATTTCATGAATATACAGACATTTTTGTTACATACGTATTACATTAGAAATAAACAGTTATTTGAATCTGTCTAAATCTACTTTAAATTTGACTTAATCTGTGACATATCATGAAAAAAAAGCCTTGAAATGATAAACACATTGTGACTGATGACAACTGTTTTTATCACATAAGTCCGAGCTTTCACAGCTGTTAGAACCATCGGTCACTGTGCTGACAAATATGACTTTTCAAGTCTAGATCTTTTTCCTCCCTGATTTCAGACAATTGTTCTTACTTTTCATCTCTTTCTGACCTTTTCTCTCCTTCACTTCAGTAGATTGTTGATTTAGGGAGGAAAACATTTTGGTTTCAATTTTCCTTTCTATGTTATTGTTTTTCAGGTTAATCCTATTTCCCCCTCTCTGATGTGTGTACATGTGTTTTAGCAGGACCTTCTAAGCAGCAACTCATAGAGTTTGTTGGATTTCTTTAATTTATTATTTAATCAATAAATAAATTAATTTATTTTGGATAAATCAACCCACTCATACACCAGCACTCAGGAGTCGAAGTGTCAGTTCTGGAGTTGACTATAACTGACCAGAGTGCACAGCTCCCTCTGTTGGCCTGCGGTGAAGTGCACTCTGCAGCTCCCCGTATCATCTTTCCCTCTTTCCTTCCATCAGCAAAAGCAAAGTTAAGCTTTTAGGATTTTGTAAATTTCCACAGCTGTAATAATCATTTTGCTTCAGAACCTTCAGCACTAAAAAAAATTTACTTTTACCAATAAATACTCACATATTTCAGCCAACTTCATAATTAGCATTAAATTTAAATAAATACCTTTTATCTAGTAATACTTTTTTCAGTTGTTAGTCATTGTTACACTTTGTCTGCAGTTGGGCCGTTTTGTATCTAACTGCCCCCTTTGTCGGTACATCAGCCGTCCAAGTGACCACCTCATGAATTTATTAAAGGCTGTGTTGACCAACAAAGACACACAATACGCTCGCACACATACGTGGCTGTGGGTGAACTTGCTCTGGCCTATTGAGTCGTGTGATTGATGTGAGTGAGAGTTGCAATAGATAATTCTTCCATAGATGTCAACAGGCTGCCGCCACAGGGTCAAAACAGACGACCCACACAGACTCGTGCACGCACTCGCAGATAAAACAGAACAGAGAGATGTCAGCAGCGACACGGAGTAGCTTTCACACAGAAACTGAACTCTTAACAGCGATGTGAGCAAACCCGTTTACACACACACACACACACACACACACACACACACACACACACACACATACACACATACACACACACACACACACACACACACACATTGATTCTAGGAAACTTTGATTAGGTCACATGATTATTTTATTCTGTGTGTATATCATCCACAAGGCTGTATGGGCAAAAAATGATCAAATTTCTGCCAAGAATTCAGTTTTTTTCATGAAAAAGGAAGTTTGCATGACCACTTCAAGTGGGGAGTGGCCTAAAGGGGCCACTGTCAACATGTACACACTAATTCAGAGACAATCAGAGGTCTGGGAGAAATGGGGGGGTGGGTGGGGGTCAAACAGTGACAAATGAAGCAAAGCATACAAATAGACAGGGTAAAGGTTGTTTCAGTGTTTAAATATAATCAGAGAAACTCGGTCAAATGATCAAAACAGAAAATTTAAAGCAATAGCTGTTAAGTGCTTGTGGACTATTAAAGAATACAGCTTAAAGAGTACATCTTTATTATACAGCTGGAAACTGTTCTTTATTAACATAACCCTTTTCATAAAAATAACATTTATAAAGTGAGCCTTGCCTCACAAATGCACTTGTTTTTATGCTTTAATTTCCTAAAATCACTTTCAAAGACAAAGTGCAGACATTGCATTAGTGACGTGACATTTCATACAGAATGGAAACCACAGCTCAGAAGACCAGTTCATGAAAGATGCTATTTATCTATTTAAATCTTGAATGTGAATATAATCATTTTTAATGATTTTGTTTGTTTTAAAATTCTAAAATCTTACAATCTAAGTAGTCTCTTCCCATCTGTAAATATATTTTCATGAATGGTTTTTTTGAAATAATGTGGTACAAAAGACATGTTTCCAATATATGTATTTTGTTAAGTACAATAGGTTTGGTATTTTTTTATTCTTTCTCTGCAGGCATGAAAATGATAAATGTGTATTTGTGTGTTTGAGGCACACATGTGCATTAGAGACAGAGGTTTCGGGAAAAGATTTGTTTGCCCAGTGGTGGCGGCAGCATTGATTCACACTCATCTTTGTCGATGCTTATAAGCCTCTGGATACATCATAACTGTGTGTGTGTGTGTGTGCGTGCGTGCGTGCGTGCGTGCGTGCGTGCGTGCGTGCGTGTGTGTGTGTGTGGGCCACACAGCATCTGTGTATACATGTGCCTGAATTCATTTTCTTTCGTCCATATGGCAAAGGTCATTTTTGAAGTGTGTGAGTGTGTGTGTGTGTGTGTGTGTGTGTGTGTTGGGTGGGTGGGGGGCTTTTAGAACTGCATGTCTTCGAATTTGCTCCTAAAAGATTTTTTCATAATGCAATAAGCTTTGTTCAGATTTTGTACATGAACCACAAAGTACAGCTTTCAGCACAGCTGTTTGTCCAGGTCATAAAAACAGAGTTTGACTAGTTAACAAGCTAAAATTTTTAGATGTATTAAACAATTAAAAAAATTTGGGGAGAAAGAAAATAGAAAAAAAGCTGATGTGGTTGCACACAAAAACACACACACACACATCAAAGTAGAGATTGGTTTCAGGAAATGTTTGACTATCTGTTCCTTTCCAAATGTGCTAATTACAACCACTTTCTTTCATCTCTGCACCCCTCCTCCCCACCACACTTCCTGCCCTACTGATTTTTTACTTATTTTTTTCCCTCAATATCTCCCTCTTTGCTGTCTTTCCTGCATCATTTTGTGCTCGGGTACCAGAGTCCTGGAAAAAGTTAGACGGAAACGGGCAAAACATTAGGAAGAAAGACGAGGTTGGAAGGAGCGAGCGGACCACTGTGGCGACACAGATCAGTCTCCCTATGGGATTCCAGTTTTTCTCTTTCTCTCTCACTTTTTCTCCTACGGCTCGTTCAGCCTCTCGCTCTAAGACCGAGAAGCTGTGAAAAGGTTCTCCTGGAGGTTCGGTCTCCAAACACTCCGCTGTGTTTGAAAAACAAAACAAAGTAAAAACAAAAAGACCAGGAACAAACAGCCTGCTGGTGTTGAGATGAAGGGGAGCTTGACAAAAACAGCAAGCAGCGGAGAAAACCTTGTCCCAATCATGACCAAATCATTCCACAACAAAGGACAAGCGCTCTGGAATTGCCATAATCTCGTACTTTACCGCTGGGCTGTGATGGGCTCTGCTGCGCTCTGCCTGTCTGTGTACGCTTTGCCGTGTGACACGTTATTCAAGCTCCGGGCGTAGGGTCAAGCTCACACTTGTTTCTTTGATCTAGCAATTCTCCGGATTTGATTAGGTCAATTTTGTGCTCTGCATCCGAGCAAGCGCAAATCCACGTTTTCCACCAGAAAGATGCTCCCGAACACGGTGTCATGTAGGAGCGAACACCTGCCTCAAAACGCGTAGCTTTTAAGACGTTCTAACGTGTGTTCAGAAAATGGCAAGAATTGTTTTTATTCACTTGTCTTTTTTAATAAAAGTATGTTTTGTGGTTGGGAGTTCAGACACATGAGAGCACTAAAAGCCTGAGGAAAAGCTTTTTAAGGGACAAAGTTAAAAAAAATATGGGCCGAGAGAGAAAGAAAAATGAGTGCTGGAATTTTTTTGCTTTAAACCTTTCCCTCACCTGTCTCTTTTCTTCTCTCGGCTTCCTTTTTTTCCATTCCCCCCTCCTCTCTCTCTTCCTCTCTGTTCTTTGTCTGATCCCTCCTTCTCCACCTGCTACTCTCCCTCTCTCTTGCTCTCCCTTCGTTTCTTTTCTCCACCCCTTTCTCCACCCATCCCTGCAGCCATTGGTCAACTGTCCACCAATCATGGCGGAACCGGGACCTGAGGGACTGCATATGCAAAGTCCCGCTTAATATTCATGAGCAACTATCTGGGCTTTAAGTCGTTGATTAGGACAGCGGCACAGCTTTCTGTCCCAACTGCACTGCTGGCTGGCTGTGTGTGTGTGTCTATAGCCCCGCTCTCCCTGGCTGTCACATACACACACACACACACACACACACGCTCCCTTCACGTCTACACACACTCGCAGAGCCGATCAGAGCAGGCAGCGCAGAACCTGGTAATTGTGTTGCTCCCTCCAAGTGCAAGGAAGGACGGAGAGAGTGAGGAGGACAGGAGGAAGAAGAGGAGGGGAAAGAGGAAACATATCAAAACTTTGCTTTTTTTAAATTCTTTTTCATGCTTTTTTGCTGTTTCCACGAAGGAGGGTGACGTGACAATGACCCGGTACCGCTGATGGAGTCGGTAGGACACCCGTTATCCGAGTGTTTTTTAATGCACTCTGAACAAGAGTAGGTAAATTTTACCTTTTTTTTGTTTTTACCTTTTCGAATTCACCCCTCAACTTGACATTGTCATTGTCTTCCACTGTGAGTGATGCATGTGAGGAAGTGAGTGCGTGTTGGTATGCAGCAGAGGTGGCCGGCACCATGTCAAGGTTGTTTCTGCTGTCAGGTGGCACGAGATCAGAGTGTGTGTGTCCGTGTTTGTGTGAACATCCATCTGTGGCCGCAGTGTCCGGACAGCAGGTCTTTTACCGACCCGATGGAGAACAATTTCTGCTCCTCCACCTTGAAGTAGGACAAACACACCTGTACAGTCACACAGACGCTGAAACGCACTTTCTCCTTTACTTTTCGTTGTTTTCAGAACATTTTTGTTTGTTTTTTTTATGATCAGTCAGATAGTTTTGGAGCTGAGTGTGGCTGTCAGTGTGGTTTTTATGCCTGTGCACATGCAGATTTAAATGCATGTTCGTTCGAGCAGAAAATCAGAGAGGTAACGGGGCACTGAGGTTACAGGAATAACGTGGAGGAACGGGAGAAGAACGGCCCATCAGAACTGAGGGAGGAGGAAAAAGGGGAAAGCTGCGCTCTTAAATGCCAAAGGAGGTTGAATTTCAGACGGGCAGCTCAGCGTGTGGCCCCTGCTCAGGAATTAGAGATAGTTACACACACACACTCACACAAGCAGCTCTTGAGCTGCTCTTTTTGCCAACACTTTGCTCCTTTAGGTGTATGTAAAGGAATGTTCAAAGTGCAGATGAACTGACAGCAGGTTACAGCTTTTCTGCATTCTTCTGCACATAGTTTTGACAAACAAAAGGACAGATTTATACAGTTTAATAGTCTCAATTTTACACCCAAACCAGTAACAACTGATTGTTTTTCTTAAAGTGGTGTGTTGAAGTCAGTAAGTGGAACACACTCTCTTTGCAGTTTATGTTTTTATTTAGTTTTAACAGTATTTCATATTAAACATGAAAAAAATCCTATAAATTTGTTGTAATGTGACAAAGGTTCTGCAGTAAATGAATTAAAGAAAATGAAGCCCGAGTCACAGTTTAAGTGTCTTCAAATGTCAGATTAAAAGACACGAAAGGAGAAAATCAAGACAGAAGTTAAAACTGGAGTGATTTTCCAGCATTAAATTTTTCACATTTTTAGAGAAACTAGACGGTTGTTGTGTGCTGTGAACCTGCTTCATCCTGGTTCCTGCGTGTGTTTTGACTTACACAGCATACCCAATAGTTGGAGAACTCCAAAAGAAATGAGCAGAGTAAAAAAAAAATCTTGTCTTTTTATTTATTTATTGGTTTTTTTAATGAAATGTGCAAATATCTTAAAAGTGACGCCTTTAGGATGACTTTCAATTCTTCTTGATGGGAATTTCTTTATAACTAATCCTGTTTATTCTTGGTCTGAATTTTTTAGGTCAGAAGCCAAGTCTTAAGGAGCTTTTTTGTAATCATTGCTTTTATTCTCCTTTTTCTAAATTCGTTGTCACATGGTCCACTAACTTAGTTATCATGCTTATTTGCAGATTTTGATTTTCTACAAAACAAAGCATTTTAGGTGAAGAATTCCCGCAAATGAAAATCTAAAAGTTTAACATTTCTTTTCTGGCTCAGATCAGAAAAGTTGAATCAGAACAGATTTTGTTTACAGAGGTTTACAAAGATGTGCTAAAAGATAAAGACCAAAAACAAAAGTGCACGTTGATGTAAAAAAAATCTAAAAAATGCAGCAGTGATGTGCATGTATTTAACCAGAGTGTGTTTTCAGGAAGCGTATGAACACTCTTACCAGACCTTTAAAAAAATAAATAAATAAATTGTAAAAACCCTCTGGTCCAGTCACCCGTCTGTCCGCTCCTTCATCCTCCCATCGATCCATCTGTCCTCCGTTCTCTTTTTCCTGCTTCGCTTTCTTTGCTTTGACGCGCTGCTTTTCTAATTAAAATATTAAGGATAATGATGATCATACTGAAGATAATAATAACAAGTACCGCTTAAGCAGTTAACATAATTGCATTCCCCTCATGTCACCATACACATACAATTTGCATATCATTAAAATGTATTTCCAACAGTGACTTTAGTGAATTTGATGTGTTTTTGTCAGTGGGTGTGTGAGGTGCGCGGACCTGTGGTGAGAACTGCACAGCGGCCGGTCAGATAATTCAGGCGCAGGTTTGCAGAGCGATCATGAGAAGAAACATGACAGAGTGTTGATTTTCCTCCAGAATCATTTTCAAAAACCTAAATTTTTCAGATTTATTTTTCTTACTTTTAAAGCAAATGGCAATAATTTGCAATTGTGTGTGTAAATCTTTCCCTTTTTTTGCATTTATTTAAAAGTCTAGTGAAAATCTGTTGAGCACATATCGACAATTTTAGCATGCCATAAAAAAGCACATTATTCCAAGGTTTAAACAAAATGTTAATCCGTTTGTTTATTCATAAGCAACTTCAGATCAGTTCATCAATTTAAACTTAATTCCAACGGCTCCAACTATAGTTTTTAAGAAAAAAGTTGCTAAAATATTTAATAAGGATTAGTTTAAAAAATGTAATCTTGCTGACAATAAAAATCAAACTTGAAGGCCAGCTGTGTTTCGTACAGTTGAACCATCAGCAAGTGCTGAGATTGTTTTTTTTATAACGAGACAAAAATACTTTCAGACAAATTTTGCTGATAAAAAAACATCGATGTGTTTCTTCTCAGTCTTCTCAACATATTCGTTTTACTTTTGTTCATCTCCTGCGACTGTATTCTTTTCACAGGCCATGAGGATAAAAAGAAGCAGCAGAGGCAGAGAGGTGAAGCTGACTGGAGGGAGGGACAGAGAGGGGGGGGGGGGGGCAAAGAGAGATTGCGTAAATTAAAATCCTTTTAATCTCCTTATAAAATCATTTACTTAATTCATCTGTCAAAGCATGTCAATATGTGCCGCGGTGATTTGCTGGCTGTGCATGTGTGTGTGTGTGTGTGTGTGTG